AGATGATGATTCTGTGCAGAGCCGTCCTTAGGCATACCTACATAGCTGCGGAGAGCACCTGAAAATTTGGGGCACCCCTAGGTCTTAGTGTCCACCCTTCCGGCTCTAACTATCCCTGTTCTGACCCTTCCTGCAGGCTCCCACAGCTGGCTGCTGCAGCCTGGTGAGTCTTCCTCCGGAGGGGATCTAGTAGTTAAAAGTGAAAAAGCGTTCCAGACCTATTAGCACAAGACTGAAACTGTTAAAGAGCCATTCATGGGGTAATGAAGTCATTTAACAGGCATTCGCCAACCCCCAGGTATATACTGTCAGTTTCTGTATTTCCTGACAAAAACAGTTGTGCATTACTGTAATATTTACTCAGAACATGTTAGTCGACGGGACCTTAGTTTAAAATTTGTTTTAAAAATATTTCATTATTCAAATATTTCAGTGTGTTGCTGCTGAAGATTATAAAATCACATCTCTAAAAAAAAATCCTTGCATAGATTTTTAGATGCACAATCTGAGTATTCAACTTTAGCCTTAAATGATTGGATCTTCAGACATTCAGTTTTTTAAATAAATCCTTCCAAAGACCACCCTTATCTAAAATACACATTTTAATTACTATAGTAAAAAAAAAAAAACTTGCTCCCAAAGTCTTCCTATCCTTTCTGTCCATCCCTTTTTCCCTTCACCTCCTCTCCCCCCACGCCCCATTGAAGAGAGCCCTTAAAGGGACAACCCCCCTTTCCTTCCAGATAGCTGGACAAAGAGTTTCCCTTTCTTTACAGTCTGACTATCTGATGAACTAGTTTTAAGAGAACCCTCTGGCAAAATCAGTAGTTTAGTAAGATATAAAATCCTTTGTAATGCCTAAAATCTTTGGAAACATTTTTTTTAAAGTTGGTGAAATTTCATAAACATGTCTATTGTTATGGAGATCACAAAGTAAATTAGTGTTCTCTTTTTCTAACAGCAATGAACATTGTTATGAACACACTAAACCTCTGTTACTGATTAATTTAAAATAATGTCTTTGTTTCAGTGAGTTAAAGATGTAGTAATCTGGAATGATTATGAAGGCTTAAGAGTACATTTAAAATATAAAATCAGCTTAGAAATACTGATTAAGAAAATGTAAAACAGAGAAGAGCTGCGTCATGTATTCCATAATATTTAATTGTTGTATTCAGCAAGACAGCTAACTTGCCCTTACTACAAAGTTTTTGCAAATAAATGTCTGACAAACTTCAGGGCATATCAAAAAACCTGTGACTGACATACTTTATTCCCAAGTTAAATGTTTTTAATTAGGTACTCTCTGCATGTCCATTGTGCGTGAGGGAGAGGGTACGGGGGTCTCTGCAGGGAACTGTGACTCTCTGCCACTGTGAGGCAGGCCGGGAGTCTCATTATCCTTTGCTGTTTCGTCCGGCCCCCCCTCCCCGGGCTGCGGGCTGCCATTGGGCATAGGGGCACCAGTTTAATAATACTGCGTAGGGCCCCATAAATCCTAAGGATGGCCCTGATTCTGTGCAAACTAAAAAGGCAGAAGTAGCAAATCACCTGTTAGGTGGATGAATAACATGCTTAGTGCCAAATTCTGCCCAGTCTTATGCCCTTCGCTACCCCAGCGAAATCAATATTGGATTGCACAGGATGTGTGTCAGGGCAGAATATGGCCTTTGGTATAACAAAAATTTACCAAAAATGCACTCTTTTCTATTTCAAATATTTGATAAGAGAAAAGGCTCCCATTAGACAGATCAGAGAGAATGGGATGAGTGAGTCAATGGGCTTTCTCCAATGGTTGAAATGAATCATAATGGTCAGTAAACCTTCCCAGCTCCACCTCAAAAATGCAAGTAATCTGTTGCACTGAGTTTCATATTTAGCCTGTCATGTTTGAAGATACAATATTGGAAATTTGTGGGTAAAATACTGAGCATTTTCAGTGAATAAATGATGAAAAAATGTTTAAGATTTTAGCTGATGACCCTTTAGCATTGCTGCCTACAGCAATGTGCTGTATATTACCACCTGTCATATTTAATCAGGCAATCTCCTTGCCTGGTATTTAGCAGCAAGTCTTTTATGTTTCTCATATGTTGCCTCATCAGTAAAAATTCCTTCTGTGTCAGGTTATTAGTGGGGTGTTAAATGTAATATGCTGATCTAAGCCCTTTTAAAAATCAAATCTGTGATATTTCGTTTCTGTTTTTGCTGGGCTTCAGGCCCCGAATGCAAAATAATTCTAAACCTTCCTGCTTTCACCCACCCACTCTTCCTTCGATCTTTAATAGCTGCAAATGAAGAGCCAAACAGAAGGTAGGAGTCATTACAGCTAAGTGTAAACTGTAGAACTGGGGGATGTCATTATATTGCAGAAAGACTGTTGTGCCTATGACATTAAAGCCAATCCTACTCCAAATACAGTTGTAATATTATATTTATGAAATGGTAAGAACATTAACATGAAAATAATCACAGCTCAGACACTCCAGATAACATTTAGTCCTCTGAGATGCAGTGACAATTTCTGGCTAGGAAATAAAAAATGATTATCTTGTTAGTGGCACTGCAGGCTTTGCAATGTGATTATTTACTATTTCTACTACATTAGCATTTCGGGCATGTCTGCTCTGCATCTGGGAGCTAGCTTCTCAGCCTGGGTCCACAGACTTGTGTTAGTAGGGCTCTAATGCTAGCTGTGTGGACATAACTCTGACATTGCAGCTGGGGCTGGAGCTCAGACTCCCAAGTTCATCCATGCCAACAGGCTTCAGAGCCCAAGCTGCAATATCTATGATGCTATCTTCAGAGGGCTAGTGTGAGCCTTGATAAAACAAGTCTGTGGATCCGAGCTGGGAGGCTCGCTCCCAGGTGTAGAGGAAGTATTGTTATTCCCATTTTACAGGTGCGGAACTGAGGCACAGAGAAAGTAAACAGTTTGACCAAGGTCAACCAGGAAGTCAACAGAAGAATCAGAAACTGAACCCAGCTGCCCTGAGACCGAGTGCACAGCCTTAACCACCAGACCTTTCTGTGCGGTTGTTCCATCTCAGCCGTTAAGCAGAGTTGAGCCTAGTCAGTACTGGAATGTGAGCTCTCCAGTGTCTTGCCACAGTAGTGGTTTTGAGTAGCTCAAACCATCTCAAAATCTCCCATATTGGCATTCCGTGGATATGGAACAGGACACATGGCAACCTGCAGAACTCTACAAGAAAGGGGAAATTGCCCAGCACAATTGTCTTGGATCTTTCTGAGAGGAGGTTACAGAACAACTGTAGTAAACCAAACCCTCTGATCCAGGCAGTACTGTTTGTTAAACACATGTGGTAATTAAGGATGCCATAGTACATTTTGAAGAATAGGTGTGTCCTCGCTGCAACTGGTCAGAAAATCACCATCTAAATGAAATTTCAAAAAGAAGTGTATGTGTGGGAGGGGGAAAATTATGTGAATAGTTTTGTTTGTTGTTTTTGGCCAGTTCTAGGCTAGGCCAGATTCTGATTTTGGATTTCCCAGTCTAAGGGCTCAGTCTAAGGTGCTGAGCATTGTGGTCCTGATTCAGTATAGCACTTAAGCATGTGCATAGATTGGAGCCAATAGGATTGCTCATCTGCTTAAAGTTAAGCAAGTGTTTAAGTGCTTTGCTGGATCAGGACCAGAGTTCTCAGGACTTTGCAGGATGAAGCCCTAATTTAGGAAATACCCCTTCAGTTGTATAATTCCCCTTCTAAACAATCACCTTCCTACTCCTTGAACTGGAGTCCTGCTACTCCTGACTCAGTAGGACAGTCTGTTTCCACTTCCGATCACTGCTTTTCAGTGTACATATTATTTGTAAGACATTTTGGGAGAACAGTTAAAGTAAAAGATGCTTAGACAATTTAAAAATATTTTAGTAGAGAAAAAGGTGATAGGTGCTGAGAAAGACATGGATTTAATATTAACTGGGTAGTGTGTGTTTGATTATTGTTTATTTTACTTCTTGCAAAAAGAAGTAAAATAAACCCCTTTGTGTTTTCATTGTATTTATGAACCAGATACTCTGAAGAGATATTAAGCTTGGTTATACTTCCTGTTATAGAGCAAACCAACCTTCTTTTGCTTCAGTATGGTATTTACACCATTTTTTTTTAAATGTCTTGCTGTTTTGCTTTTTGGCTTTTCCTGAGCCTAACAGTTTCCTGTGTTTTTTGCACAGGTTGCCATTTCTTCTCTCTGCTTGCATAATGGTTCGTTATTGTTTCTTTTGGGGGCAAAAGTTATCCTGCTTGTAGTGAAAACTTTTTAGATCTAAACCATTTTGTCTGGCAGCTTTATGAATTTTAGCACCCCTATCAGATCAAATAATAAGATTAAGGAATTCTATCAATGCCACAGGGTGTGGACATCATCTGCAAGCCCTTTGGTGGGGAATTTGAGAAGTGTGAACACAGAACCCTAAGGCACATCCTTTGCAAAAGTATATCCGATAAAATAGTTAACATATAGCACAGTTTAAAAAAAAAAAGTGACTCTTGCCTTGAGTATTAAGTTGGCTTTTAGATTAATTCCAGAGATAGTTTTCCCTTGTATAGTAATTTGTCTTAATTGAATTAATGTGTTATTCTCCTTGAACAGACTCGGGCTGAGATCCTACAGTTTGAACCACTAGTACAGACTCTTGCTCAGCCCATGGGATTCTGCATAGGTACAGGGGTCCACACTAGTGTATCTGATTGTAAGAGCAGGGCCTAAGTTGGGTGGACAGCAGTTTATGGAGCACATACCCAAATACCTTATAATATAGCAAGAATATTCTCCAGCTATGCTGAGTGCAAGAAAAGGCTGAAAATGGTATAGAAACTGTAAAATCCTGAATTTTTTTTTTTTTACACAGAAAATCGAGTTATTGCATTTCATAAGTAAGTACAGTTTAGCAAACTGTTTTGCTTTTGCTATAAAGTAGAGATACATTTGTATTCTGGATAAAATAAAACTGATTTCTTATAATATTCACACCACAGGTCAGTTATTCCGGCTAAAAATGTTTCGAGAGGATCATGGATCTTGGATGACAATGTTCTTCAGCACCATTCTCTTCCTCTTCATTTTCTCTCACATTTACAATCTGTGCCTCCTTATGGCAGGGAATATGAGGTAGGCCTTGGGTTTCTTTGTCTTCTATTGGTGTATATAGTCTCTCTGGAATTTATTTTATAGTGTGCTCCTGTATAATTAACAGTTTACTATAATGAAAACACATTAGCATTTGAAATCTACCTTTTTAACATCTCTGTTTTTCTGTATTTAGGCATGATGATAATTTAGCAGTTTGACTGACTAAGAGGTTTGATGATCAGTGATGAGGAGGATTAAGCTAATTAGTTCACAATTATAAAAATGTGACCTAAGCTATTAATTATTAAGCCAACTTACTAATGATTCTTGTATCTACTGCTTATAGTTTGTTCACAGAAAAAACTACATTAAACTGAAGTTAAGGTTGAGTATGTATCAGTAATTTAAGTGTAAAAACATTACAGAGACATTGTAATCATCCCAATACGAAGCATTACAACCCAGGAAATTCAGATGATCAAATGGGTGAATATCTTGTCTACTTAGCAAGCCAAAAAAAAAAACTGTTAAAGAATGTGATGATGTGTTGTTTAATGGACTGAAATACATTAAGGAAATATAAATGTGATGTATTATAGGTCCCAGTGTGCTGCCAAAAATATATGCAGCATGTGAAGTCCCATTACCAACATAAGATAAAATAAAAGCTGAACTTAACTAGTTGATAAAACAACTGTGCTAATAATGTGGTCACCATAATACCACCAAACAAATTATGAAGTTGTATTGGTCCAATAGATATGAATAAGGGCATCAAATGCAATTGCTATCCTAGGAGAGCAAGTGTCCATGTGGTCAGAAAACCATCAAGGCTCTGAGATGGTAGTTACTGACAGATGCCTAATATAAGTAAGGTAGGATAATCTTCCCAACTCATGGAGGTTTAGGTCTTACATGTCCATCCTGCATTTGTGTCGGTTATTGACTGTCATTTTGTTACTATTATGCTTTATTTGCATTTGATTTTCCAAAAAATAGAAGATATATCTAGCTCTTGGAGTCAGTGGATACTGGGCCCCGCCAGGTGACAGCTTTAAGTTTTTGTAACCTTGACTCATATTCAGAAATGAAGTTAATTCACTCTTGCCAGCACGTCTGTGCCTCGCCTTTGTTACTCTCTCCCTTGGTTTGTTTGCATACTGCCAGCTGTGCTGAAATGACCCCCTGATAGTGAAAGCCCATGTACACACAGACAGACATGATCTATTTATAAAATAGCATGTATTAGTCAATCTATCTTCTTATATAACATGAAATAAAGTCTCTCCATCCTTGGTATTTACGCCAGTCTGATATTTGAAGAAAATTGTTATGAGAAATCGACTGTGCTATGCCTAGTGAATCATTTGGACTCTGAAGGTTTATTGGAATGCGCTTGGTGCATTTCTAGCGTTGGGACAGTAGGCAAGAATGAAAACAAACAGTAAAAAAAAAATCTCACTCTTCAGCTATGTCACTTTGATGTAGAATAATATCACTTCCTCCCACATCATATATGTGTCTCTATACTTTTCCTGCAAAATTCTTCCATTCAGAAACAAACTTTTCTGCTGTAGATAGTGTATTCAGACAAAACAGAGCTTGAATTGGCTCTCTCAGAGTACAGGTATGCAGTATGCATTGATTCTCTGAAAAAAACCCCACCATTTGGGTTTGGGAGACTCATCAACAAAAGAGAGAATGCCAGAGCCCACTGTTTAACTCTCTCTTACAATGACATTTTAGAGAGTTTCAGAGTAACATCCGTGTTAGTCTGTATTCGCAAAAAGAAAAGGAGTACTTGTGGCACCTTAGAGACTAACCAATGTATTTGAGCAGAGTGGATTTCCTCTCATTTTTGTGAACACAATGTTTGTGAAAGCTGCTTGTTTGACTCTATACAAAGGGGTTACAGCGTGGACAGCGCACTTTGCCACATTGCCTTACTAGTGGAGCCCAATCCTACACTGGAGGAACTGGCATTGAAGGTAAAGGGGTAGGTCAGTATCCATGGTCAGACAGTCTGTAGTCTCTGCACAGATTGCTGACGTGCCTACTTACTGCGATGTGGACTCCTGAACATTAAATACTTTAAAATAAAAACATTTACAATAATAAAATCATCCTTCCAAAACAAGGGCTGAGAGCAGGGCTTGTTTTAGGGGTGGGCAAGCAGGGTGGTCACCTTGAGTATCAACTTCTTGGAAGGTTCTCCACCCTGACTGGCAAAAGCTGGCTGAGAAAGCCTTAAAATCCCAACCCCTAAGGCTGAGTGGGAAAAGATCAACTCTTCTTGTGCAGTGTGCACATCACTTTGTCCCTCTACCAGCTAGCTTTGTGTGATGGCAGGGGAATGAAGCTGACAAGTTCCTTCATCTCTGAATACTTGATCTTGTCAATGAAAAGTCCCTAGTGGCTCACAGAATGGTGATATTGGGAGAGTGATGAATGTTGCCAGATGCATGTTTGCGCTGGTGATCACAACAAAAACAATGTCCTGTTGGGGGTTGGAGTGGGTAGGTTTGGGAGTGAGTGAGTCCCAAGACAGGAGATAGAGCTTTAACATCGTTTCAAGACTCATCTCGGAGTATGGGATAGGTTTGTGTTTATTGATGAGACACTTTTTTAAAGTGCTATTCCAATGAGTGTCTATGTTTGTCAGACCCAAGAATGTTTCATTAGTGTCCCTTTAAAAAATAAAAGTTTAGGAATTGTGCTTTACTGGGAGCTGAAAATAGGTGGCCAGTTTGTTGGTGGCTGAATACACACTGTGCAGCCAAAGGTTGCTTTGAGAGTATGAACAGCTGGATCAAAATCTTTGATTAGCCTTTCGTGACTGTGACAGAGTGAGGATAGATCTCTACTCTATTGAGAACACCATCTTGCCCATTAATGTCATTTCTTATTAGGGGCTCCCCTTTGTATTGAAACCTCCATTGTAGGTTAGGGATCCATTTTTTGGCAGTAGGGGCTTGACACCTAGTTGGATGACTGTCTGAGAAGTTGGCAAAGAGCAATATAATGCTATCAGGTCTGATTCTCTCTCAATTACCAGCCCAACCACAAGAACAATGAACTCTCTCAACCTGGGTATATGGCCCAATGAGGTCAGAGACTACATTTAAGAGGGGAATTCTCTCTCTGACAGGAGTGTGTGTAGCAGATCATAGCCACCATGCAGGAAGACTGGGCTAAGGAGGTAGAAAATCAGGAGAGCTGCTTATCCTATGGAGGCTCACCAGACACAGGACACAGAGGGGGCTGATTTCAGGATTGTTTGTTATTTTCCAAAAATCTGTAACTCTCTAATGCTGTTGAAGAGTAAAATGCCTGTGGTTAAGAAATTCCTTTTCTAAACCTGAGTTCCTTGCCTGCCTGCCATCTTGTCCCTGAAGGGCTGGAATGCTCCTTTGAGGATCTAAGGCAGCTGGACTGAAGGATCTTACTGTCCAAGAAGGGTGCTAGATACAGGGTGTGTATCTGGGAATATGCCTGAGAGACCCACAGCTACAAACTGTGACCAGTCACCACTAGAACAGGTCGAGAATTTGCTACAGAACAATTTTTTTTTAAATGCCAATTCATTGAAACAAAACCTGTGTGGAAATTATTCATTTTTGATGGAAGTCATCTCAGAACTAGGGGTGAACTAGAAAGAGAGCCCCTGGAATAGCCAGGTGGCTAGGGCACTCACCTGGAATGTGGGAGACCCCTCTTCAAGGTCCTGCTCTGCCTGATTCAACGTAAGGACAGGAACATGAACCTGGGTCTGCCACATTCTAGGTCAGTGCTCTTTATCTCTTTTCTGTTGGAGCTGTTCCTCATTGTATAAATATACTTTGGATCTGAGACATTGACTAGCCTAGTGGTTAAGGCACTCACATAAGATATGGATACCCAAGTTCAAGTCCCTATGACTCCCACATCCCAAGAGAATTCCCTAACTACTGGGGTGGGTCTCTCTGCTTTTCATGAAGCATTTCTAAAGGTTGCAGTTTCGTCCCAATGTGGAACAGGAAAAATGTTTGAAATTGTGAAAATTTCCCACCCAGCCCTTGTCACTCTCCAGACCCAGGGGGCGGATGAGATGTGATTCCCAGCAGGTGGGTTCACTCACAAACTGGTGTTCATCCAGACAGAGAGACCGGGGGGTAGGTAGTGACAGTGACCTTCGTAACACTAAGATGGTGTGTAAGTTAAGGCAACTGAGAGTGGTTTATGCACAGATGACAGAGGTTTTATTTCAGAAAGTTTTCTCTCTTTTTTTTTCTAAGAGCACTAGAGTCTAAAACTGATTAAAGAGAAACTGAAGAATGCTAGCCTGAGTGGTGATAAAGGCTGAGATTTTCAAAGGATCTGAAGGCAGTTATTTCCCCCAACTTCCATAGAATTCAATGGGATTTGTGTGGTTATGGCCCCTTTGAAAATCTCGGCCAGAGAGCTATGTCTGGGATCTGCCTGCTTGAGAGGCTGCCTTGCTCCTTCTGCCGTATTGCCAGGACTGAGGCAATAGTGAAAAGGGTGGTTTTGGGCAGTCATTCTTAGTTTTCATATAGCATTTCATCCTTAGGTCTCAGAGCACTTTCCAAAGGACAGTGTATAGCAGTATCCTCATTTCACAGGGAGGGGCTGCTGAGTCACAGAGATGAGATGAGTGACTTGCTCAAGGTCACATGGTAGGTAGAACCCAGGTCTCTTGACTACCAAGCCAGTGCCCTGTTTTAGGCCCAATTGTTTAGCCACCTTCATGTTGTTTTAATCTACTATGGCCTTCCATGGTCTAAATTCTGTTATCTTGTACTCAAGTCCACTAGTGCTGGCCTGTTGTGGAAAGTCCTGCCTAGCTCCTGATATCTCTCAGGCATCTCTAGAAGATTATTGGCTCTGCAATGTCATAATGCAGACAGGACTTCCAGCAGCTGCCAGGGTGGGTGGACAGCATATCTATGACAGGACAAAGGTACAGATGAAAAGCAATATTGTCCCTTCTATTTCAGTGTTACTGAGAATTATTTTTAAAGCAATAGTTGGTCTTTTGC